GTGTAGATCTCCAATTGGGTGGTTCGAGGCTGGAGAGTCATCTATTTTGGGTCAAGAGATCATTCATAAGGCATTGGAGAAAGTTAGAATGATTAGGGACAGGTTGTCTACTGCTTACAGCCGACAAAAATCATATGCAGACAACAGAAAGCGACCCTTAGAATTTAACGTTGGTGACCAGGTCTACTTGAAGATATATCCTATGAAAGGGGTGATGAGATTCGGTAGAAAAGGGAAGCTGAGTCCGAGGTATGTAGGGCCATATGAGATCCTACAGCGTGTGGGTGAGATTGCCTATGAGTTGGCATTGCCGGCGGAGCTAGCTTCTGTTCATCCAGTCTTTCATGTCTCTATGTTGAAGAAGTGCCTAGGTGATCCAGCATCAATCCTACCTGTAGAAGGTTTGGGGGTTGGTGAAGACTTGTCCTATGAGGAAATACCTATTGAGATCTTAGACAGACAGGTCAAGCGGCTGAGGAACAAGGAGATTGCTGCAGTGAAGGTATTGTGGAGAAATCATCTTGTGGAGGGTGCTAGGTGGGAGGCTGAGGCCGACATGAGATCCCGATATTCCCATCTTTTCAACTCTTGAGGTTAGGCTTCCTACTCGTAAGACTATAGTTCCTTATCTTTTCGTATTTTGTTGCTATTAGCTGATTGTACATAGCAATTAAGTTATAATCTGATTGGCATGTGTAATGGTAGTGTCATTCGGGGACGAATGTTCCTAAGGGGGGATAATGTAACGATTCAAAAAAAATTATATAAATAAGAATAAATCGGTATTTAAGGGCATAATGGTCCTTTCACATTTTAAATGAATGAATAAATAAATAAATCAAAAACAGATTTGTATTTATTTATTTTAAATTTTATTTGACTAATTCTTTAATTAGTCTCCTAATCCTAATAGTTCTCTCTTTTTCATGCTTCTTAACTCTCTTTTTCACGTTCTCCATCTTTCTCACATTATTTCTGCCAAATATCAACAGTTCTTCATGCTTGAAGAACTCACATAAAATTTTAAGAAAAACAAAGCAATCAAAAAAATATTAAGGGGAAGAGGAGTTGTTCGTTGAGTGGTGTGGACGTTGAAGTAACTTGGACTGACTTTTGGTGAGAATTTTGGGTAGCGAAATCTTCGTTTGAACATCAATAAAGGTATGGGTTTCTCTCATGGAATTCTTTCTCCAAGAGTACTTTCCTTCGAACGTTTCTTAAACTCTTGAAACTAAGGTTGTTCCCCTTCGTATGTCCTTGTTCTTAGCTCCCTAACTAATTTGTAGGATGGGTATGTTGTGTTGCTAGATTCTTTCATGAATGATGTGTTTAAATTTTGTGTCTTTCGAAAAGTATGAAGGTATATATGTATGTATTTGTGCAAGATTTTGACCATGACTTTAAGTCTTTCTTTAGCATGTTAATAGATTAGAGATTACATGTGTTTTATGTGCAAATAGAGGCTCTTAAAAGCTTGATGTTCACTTGGTTGAAATGTTAGAAATTTTAGTTAAACAAATGATCAAATCATACTTTTAACTTGTCTTAAGAATCCTAACTAAACGACAAATAAAGAGGTGCTTAAAAGTCCCGTAATCGCTTCATAAAAATGTCTAACAAAGTTCCAGAATCTGGAAATTTGCTACAGGTGAAATCTGGAAATTTTGGGTGTCAAAAAAATAAAAATAAAATAGGTGAGGTCTGTAGGGATCGAACCCAGGACCTCACCAACGCCTGTTTTAAAAAAAAACGCGCTAAGGGGGATTCGAACTGGGGGCTGGGAGAAGCGACTTTTCGCTAAAAATAAAAAAAAATGGGGCTGGAGGGAATCGAACCCTCGCCCCTGTCTCATGCGAGGAAAAGGAAAAGAAAAGGGAGCCGGGGGGGTCGAACTTGCGACCCCCAGCCACGCGCAAAAAAAAGGGGGGATTAAAAAGAAAATGCTAGGGGCGGGGATCGAACCCACGACCCCCGTTCGCAACAAAAAAAAAGAATAAAAAGGGGATGTGAGGCGTGGGATGGAACCCACGACCTCAGGGCTGAAGGGGGGTAAAATATTAAGGGAATAAAGGTGAAGCTGTGGGGGTTCGAACCCACCACCTCACAGCCTCCATTCCTAGCGAAAATAATTGAAAAATAAGGGGGGTTGTGGGGGTTCGAACCCACAACCTCCCTATTCAAGCAAATTTAATTAAAAAAATAATAATAATAATAATAATAAATTAAAGTTCTAATTAAAGTTGGAAAATTAATTCTCTTATGTAAATATTGAGATTTAATTTAGAATTCTAATTAAAATAGAATATTAATTCTTTTATGTAAATATTGAGATTTAAATTAGAATTCTAATTAAATTAGAAAATTATTTTTTCATGTAAATGATTAGAATTTACTTTAGAATTCTAATTAAAATAGAAAATTTATTATGTCATGAAAATGTTGAGATTTAATTTAGAGTTCTAAAGTTATAAATATTAGAAATAAAATCAATAAAAAATATAAATGATATCCAAGTGATTCAAGATTTGGGTTCCCGTACCCAAACCTCCTTATTGATATATAAGTCATACGTGAGTAAAATATTCAAGGGTAATGCCATCTACTTAGATCAAAAATTTAGATCTTGGTATATATATATATATATATATATATATATATATATATATATATATACATACAAGATGCATAAGTCTTGTAATACATAATCTTAGGAAAATAAGAATCACTTAACGAATTATAAATGAAGCCCCATGGCTTGTATGTATAGACACATAAGTTTAACATACGTTCAAAAATAAGTGAACCTAAGATATACGTAATGAAATGAAGAATGTGGCGACAATCATGATGTGAGACTAATGTATATGATGAGAGCAATCTCAAATGAGCCTAAGTAAATGTTACCAATATGTACTTACCAATGTGAGTGTAAGATAATGAAGAGACCAGTCTCTATGAACACTCTAATGAAAATATTGAGTTTAAAACACTTAATACTAATGATGAGATGAGAAATCATCTGTTGAGCTATGATGTCCTCATACTAGAAGCCAACTTCTATGATGTATGAGTTGAATGTAATGGAACTTTATACCGAGCACCGATAGGCTAGCTATGAGCGGTGATGCCTTCTTTCGGGAAGGGCGGAGGTTCACGTAACTCTCATGAGATGAGACTATCCGACTTGCCGGGTATGGGTCTCCATACATCTCCTAGTCTTTGAACCTATATTGCCACTATAGGGATCTGGCGGGGTTAAATTCCCATATACGCTAGCATGTTACTGAATCGTCTTGGCTGGTGATTCCACCTCTTTTCGGTGTGGGGGAGACACTGGATTTCATGATGCTCACATGATCTATGTCGGTTAAAGTTAAAGTTCCCAATGAATGAATAAGGTCAGCCTCAAATGAATCATATAAAGAAATAAATGATACCGAAGGTGTTAGGATAGGATAATCAAGAGGTGAGCTAGATTCAGGTAATGACATTAGGTTATTCTTGATCATTGCACAGCAAACCCGATGAAAGTCTTAAACTACATCCTAGGTATAGCTGGTGTTCGCGCTGGCCTATGAATGAATTGAAATGAAATACGTATGAATGAATGAAGCAGACTCTGTGTTTGCTAAAGAAGGCTCCCTAGTTGAGGCCTCATATGTTGAACCCTTATTTTGGAAAGTCTTAAGGTTAAGTCTATGATAATAAGGTCTCATGGTATATGAATGAATAATATGAAAGAAACTATGTGTTATATGTTATGTGCTAAATGAAGATGTTATGTGTTGTGTGCAATACGATGATTATAATGATGCATGTCGCTCTCATGGCATAACTTTTCTAATCTCATTTTATCAAGTCCACTGACTTGACTTCCAAACATCATGTTGTTAGGAAAGAGCTCTTCTTCCTCATGCATGTCCTTGGTGTGTGCTTGCATATACCCATACTTAGTACAAGTGTGTACTAATTCCATACAAACATCTACTTTTAGGTGCAGGCACAGGTGGACGGTAGAGCTACAGGTTCGTTGTTGTAGCTATCCGGACGTCAGCATTCATCTGGAGTTTGGTAGGTCCTCATGCTTTCGAGGATGCTACTGTTTTACATTCTAGCGTAGTTTTAGAGTTGAGCTAGTGGAGCATGTTCCACTAGCGTTTCCTTCCTGTTTTGGTTTAGACTTTGTATTGGTGCTATTTTGACCGATATACAATTAATATTTAATAAATTATTTCTTTCAGTTGCTTATCTCTTAAACTTTAGATGGTTGATGATGAACGATTACGAAATATAAAGAATGTTTAACAAGTATGATTAATGAATCAAAAATTTCAAATTTTCCGCTAAAATTAATCTATCTAAAGTAAGAATGACGTAAGTAGGCTTGTTTGCGACCTCTGAGAAGTCAACGACGCCGGTCTCGTCTGGGGTCTAAATTCCAGTCGTGACAAAGGTTTTGGCCTTTGTGGCCCGAGAGGAAAACATAGATAAGGTCCGTCAAGACCCAGGTGACACATTTCACATGCAAAACAAGTGAGAGCAAGGATTAGCACTCAAATAATAATATTTCAAAAAGGTATATTTAATCAACATGGAGCCTAGATGACTATGATATTAAGCATTGGGAGAGCATAGCTAAACAGACTTTTAAAACAAGCGAGGAAAATAAGCTGAGGCTGAAAGATAGAACAAAACAAATTGGAAGTGGTTGTGCCCAAAAATCATGTTGCAGACATGATGTAATTCAATATTACTAGAAGAAATAATAATAAATGTGATGCCCTGTCAAGACAAAATTTCATGCTTAGGCTGTCAAATATTACCGCTTGAAAACACACAATTCAAAATTGGCATGCAAGACAAGACACTTATCTACACATATCTAGAACTCATGAATAAGGCAATTAGAAAATATTCAACCTCAAATTATAACTAAACCCGACAATCTGTGACCTTTAGTAGGACGAAAAGTCCTTTGCGCAAAGAGAAAACGAAATAAATAAATAAATAATAAGAACAAATAAAAATAAAAACTGTCCCTCTTTACATATGTTACAGAGACAAAAATGAATTCAATATGCAAAAGAAACATGACAAGTTTCCTCATTAAACTATCAAAACCAAAACATAAAAAAAAACTTGGACCTATGCCAGCATGAAGATAGTAAAATTCAGAAGAAGGGTAATCTTAATCACAACAAAATCAAATCACATTATGAGCAAGTTACCACAAATGATCAGATTCCAAAATACATAGAGAAAGCAGGGTGCATATTAGATGAATATCATACTTCATAAGTTGAACCCGAAGAAACATAACTATCATTTGAATAAACTCAAAGATACCACCTGAATGACAGAAAATTCACAACGATATAAGAATAACAGGAGATGATAAAAACAAGCACATTGAAGTAATGAAGAGGATAGGAATCACAATCAACACATTTCAAGCCTAAAACCACATGAACCTCCAAGCAATTTACATCTCCATTCAATCATCTGACTTGGCCAAAGAACAATATGGCAAATTTTCCGTGACAAAAAAAAAAAAAGATTACGGCTAATTGAATAGACTCAACCAAAAGTTGTTATGAAGATCGAGAAAGGAGTTAAAACGACAACAACTTTTAGCTTAGGACAATAGTTTCGAGATTTTTTAATATTGACTCTAAAATAAATAGATCATTCCCAGCAAAACAAATGAAAGAAGAGCTACTCATCAGAACATGCTAAAAAAAACAAGTTAAAACTGAAAAACTAATCCGACAACATCCACCATTTCACAGGCCACAACCTATCATTTTCGACCAAAAAACAAAGGAGAGACGAGAGAGTAGAGGAAACGATACCTCTTTTGGAGCAGCAACTGAGAAAATAAACGGGCAGTAGAACGACCACCTTCATCACACAAAGCACAGATGCTGACAGCAACAGAGAAACCCAAACGAAATCTTGAATGTCGCAGCAAACTTAATGGAACGCTCGCTTGGTTTACTCTTGGTATATTTTGCGCTGGAAAGTTGTGGCAGAAAGTTTTGTCAATCGAAAAAACAACTCTATCACGAATTTCTCTAGCTAAAAAAAATAATAGTTTCCTGAATTTCTAACCTTCTCTTAGTGAAAACCTGTCAGCCCTAATTATAGCTGTAAAATTAGGGTTGGAAAGGGAGGAAAATCGGGTAGATTTTTTAGGGTGAATTTCAAATTCAAACCTCCAAAAAATCTTTCACAATTTTGGAGAAACAACCTTTTCTCAGGAAAGGGAAAAGAGGATAGAGGGCTAGATCGATCTGAACGTCCTTGGGGCAACTTGGATCGATCTCACACCACCAAGGACGAGCACACGAACTGCTCTTTCCTGCTGCAATCGTACCCTGGAGAGAGACGCTGAGAGAAGAGACAAGGAATCGTATTGTACGCGTACTTGTAACCAAATTGAATTATTGATGAACTTGGTTAAAACCTAAACAAGATGGATTAATATAAATCAATTAATTAACTTCTCAATTCTAAACAACTAAAATAATTAATCTTAATTATGAACTTATTAATTTAAAAAATAAATCTTTTGAGACAATTTTCCGAGATATACTAATTATAGTCAAAATTATATAAAACATATTTATTATATAAATTTTCTCAACATGATTAAAGTTACTCTAAAATAGCTTGAATATATATATATATATATATATATATATATATATATAAATATATATATATATATATATATATTTATAAAGATAATTGTTATTAATCGTCTAAGAATTTGGAAGCTCGTGAATCAATTTATATCGGGGATGGTAAAAATTGGGCGTCAACACTAACTAACAACCATCACATCAGAGTTATAGTGATGATACAACTATCTACCTCACGCTGCCAGCGAATCCTATACTTAGCCAAAGATATAGGACCTGAACTACTAATGATCCACTAAAGATGGAATTGAGAATTTCTATATTGAAAGAATCGTGAAATCTGCTCTTTGACTCTGATTTTTTGGGTGGTTTCCAAAAAATATCGATAGTCTAGGGGTTCAATATTAGATAAGCATTACACAATCAAAATCTACCCAAAATATATTTTAATTCATACATTAAAAGTTACTTTAAGTTCATTTTTTTAGGAAAACACTTGATTGCATTACTGTAAAACATATTTCAGATGTCCATAAGACACCATTGCATCCTTTACAACACAACTTCGGAAGGCAGAATCCCAAGAAATCCTATTTATACATTAAATAGAAGTTTTTGCTAGAGTATGAGCTAATACATTCCATGTTTGAGGAATATATATAATTTCGATTTCTTCTAAAGACTTCATCAATCACCATATATCCTCGCATGTGGTCTCTATTTCCTAAGATGTTATCAAATTCTTTTGCAACATTAATTGTATGAAATCGTCAATTCCAGCTGAGATAAATCCCTAGATTCGTCCTCCTTGCTCTGATACCAGGTAAACTCAATGAACTCAGAGAGAAGTTTCAATTATATTTTCACACAATCAATAACTTACAAACTCGGATAAGTGATAACTATTTTCTATGAATGAACTTTTGTTCATATACATACAAGGAGGACTTCATGTACCGACTTACTAAAACTTCTTATAAATTACATGCATTTAATTTAACTAACACATTGGTTATCAATAGACAGTTCTATCTGGGACTAACTGCTTAACAGACAATTCATGTGAAATTTATTTTAAAAGTTGATGATGTGTTAATAGGTAATGTTTAATTTGTTATTTTACAAATGTTGTCAAGTTGTTTAGGTGAAACTTTAATTTGATGTTTTTCATTTCTCATGGTGTTTTAACTGATTTACCATTACATATTATTACTAGTGAAGCAAACCAACATATTCTTAAGATGATTTGGCAATGTATTGCATAATGCATTAGATCATATACAATGTACAAAATCTGCTAAGAATTCTTCAGTTTTTAAACTAAATATATACATATCTGTCAAGATCTATAGGAGATAATATAGCAACCCTCGGCAATAAAGAATTAGTGTGAAGTAATGTATCAGTATGAAAGAAAATAAAATAACTTAGTATGAATCATAATCTGAAAGTAATCATATAAAGGAATGAAGAATAAACTGATTGTAATGACCTACTCTTGAATCTAGCAAGCAAACACTAATAAAATAACAACCTACCCGGCCCTCATAAGCTCAACAAATATAAACAATATACAATACTACCTACTTGATCCCTCATAAGCTCGACACAATTTAATATATACACCTTATATTGTAATACTATATCCTCATAGACAATTAGTACGCCTTAATAACCACTTTGGCATTGTGTATATCACCCCGAAGGCAATCATTAAGCATTGATACCTTTAAGCATAACATAAAGGCATTTCTCTGTCTAACACATGCATAACTTAACAATATGAAATTATTATGACATTCAAATATAACTTGCATGAAGCATGTATTCATATATATAAATTAAAAACATCTTTTCACCTTACTTTTTACATTAACCTATTTTAATTAACTATTATTACTCGAACACAAGCTAACATACTCAATTTACATAACACAATTTATTTTTGATATGTTAGTATTTATTCAATTTCAACAAAATTGAACATATTAATATATTAATTGCAAGTCGTATAAGTTACACACTCTCATTTGTATCATCAATCATATTTATTGATTCAATATATGATACTTATCAGCTTATTTGAGTCATTAGTGATAATATTAAACTCATTCTTAATCCATTTCCCTATTTATTATTCAACCCATTGATTGATTTATATATCTAATTCATAAATTGATTACAAACTCTCATGTCATTGTCATAACTTAAGTTGTAGTTTTAATGGCCATTTTACCACTTAAATACACTTCTAACTCACACCATCTTTATGTTAGAGTTTCAGTCACTTCTACATCATCTTGTTTGATGATTCAGTTATTAAGGATATTGAAATAATATAGTTACTTTATACTAATTCCTAAAGGTTAGTCTTTATAAATAAAATTCCAAAAATTTTAGACCATTTTTTATATTTAAGCCATTCTATTAAAAGTATACATTTTTAAATTCAACTTAAATTATAAAATAACATGGTCAAACACATTAAATTTGAGGATATATTTTTATAGCTTTGAGCGTATCATCAAATAAAAAAGCATTTAATATTTCATACCGATTGTAACCCTGACAGACTAAAACATTGATTGCGTGTCATATGAGTTGCATCGCCTCCATTTATACCATAAATCATATTCATTGATATAATATATATATGGTACCCATTGAGTTATTGGAGACATTAGGGATAATACCAAACTCATCCTTATTCCATTTCTATATTTATCATCTTTTTGCATTATCTTTCAACCCACTGATTAATTTATAGTTTAAACTCAAATTGACTATAAAAGCTAGTGTCACCATCATAATTGAAGATGAAATTTGATAATTTATATATTGAAAGAACCGTGAAAATATCCTCTTTGACTCTTTGAGTTCTTGGGTGGTTTTCATAAAAATCTCGATATATCCTACAAGTTCAATGTTAAGTAAGCATTACACAATTAAAATCTACCCAAAACATCTTTTAATTCATACCTTTGAAGTTACTTTATGTTCATTGTTGATCACCTTTTTCAATGCTCTCAACTAACTCCTAAAATTATTCTAATGTTTTCTCTCCATAATATGAAGTTGAAACCATATACCTGAGATCATGCTATTGTGCTCTAATTGTGAGATCCATCACACGCCCCATTTTCCTTTGTATGACAAGACTCACACGATGAGAAACCATTGGTAGAGGAATTTAGTCTTCCCAAGCCACCTTCTCCTAGTAAGTATCACAAAATGGCAAGAAGGCCATAACTATGTTTGGCTTCTTATAGCACCTTCTCTCAATGATCTTGTTACGTCTAGTAAGAATAAATGATAAAATGAGGCAATATGAATGGAGGGAATGTGAAGTAGGGGTATGCATGGTATGGTATATACCAAATTACCATACCATAGCAGAATTTATTATATTGTGGTTTAGTATTATGGTATTTGTTATGGTATATGTTATATATTTTAATTTCTTTCGGTATTCAATACAGTATTTGGTATTTAGATGTGGCATATCAAAATATCGAATATCATGCCAAAGTATATAGTTACGTAGTATATATATTTTTAATATACTAACATATATATAACTTAGTATTGGCTTGAGCTAAGAGGTTGTTTGGTTGGTAATTATAAGTTATTCCATGATTAATAATCCTCAGATTAGCTATCCTAGGACAACTTATTCTATCACTATGACATAAATGGTAGGATATGTTACTTCAAACATGACAACCAAACAAGACATCAAAATTTTATCATTAGACTAATTTTTATTCCAGAATTATTTATTTTTATCACTCACACCAAACGACCAATAAATGTTTAGAAATTTAAGTGTGACTACTCAATTTTAATTGAAATGTATTTTAAATGTAATTAATTAACCAAAGGAGTTGCTTGTATTTCCTTTTCAATATCATATCATATATTATTATAAGTATGAAGCTCTAAAGTGTAAAGTTGAATTACTATTTTGCCCCTATACTAAATTAAAAAGTAATAAAATACTTTACCCAAATATAAATTAAATATCTAATTAAATAGTAACATTTGAATTACATAATAGAGGAGCAAAATGAGAAGTTCAGCAGTCTACTCAATTACTGTGTGAAACAACGAAATAGGATGAACACTAGTAAAGTTTCAATAAATATAAGGGAAAATACCCAAGTACCCCCTCAACCTATGCCCGAAATCCCAGAGACACACTTATACTATACTAAGGTCCTATTACCCCCTGAACTTATTTTATATATGTAATTTTCTACCCTTTTTAGCCTACGTGGCACTAGTTCGAAAAAAAAGTCAGTCATCGTGGGCCCACAAGATAGTGCCACGTAAGCTAAAAAGGGGTAAAAAATTATTAATAAAATAAGTTAAGGGGGGTAATAGGACCTTAGTATAGTATAAGTGTGTCTCTGAGATTTCGGGCATAGGTTGAGGGGGTACTTGGGCATTATCCCAATATTAAAGTTGAAACGTATTTTGCTAATTAAGAGAAGTTGAAAGGAATCAAATTGAGTAATTGAGGAATATGAAAGAGTTTTTATCAACAAATCTTCAAGACTACACTATATAAACATACTCAATATTAGTCATTCAGCATAAACTTCCATTGTTAAGTGGGTAAAAAAGTGTCTTCTAATTTTCAGGTACAATCTTATTAAGTCTAGATTTTTCCGTTTGATTTGCTAACTTCATTTGAATGATAACTTTCTATTTTTTTTAATAGGTATAATTAATAGCTTGAAAGGTATAATCACACATCAAAAATTGAGTGTTGTACACATATGGTTTGATGTTGAATGATGATCAACTCTCTTTGAAAC